AGAAATACAGTTTGACTCAAACGGAGGAGTGACGTGGAGGGCTGTGTGGAAGCGCGTTCAGAGGAGGCCTTGAAGGTGAAGGTGCCAGGTGAAGGCATGTGGTTTTAACCTGCAGGCAACAAGGGGACAAGGCCTGTGTGTCAGCCACGGAAGAACTGCTAGATAAAACGCAGGTCTCAGGAAGTGATGCGTGGGTACAGCTAGAGGCAGGGAGAGCCAAGACCTGACCTGTGAGTGGAAATAGGATGATGGGAGGTAGGGAGAGGCTCAGACTGTAGGGTAAGTGGAAAGTGAGCAGGAGAAAGTCTTGGAGGACTCCAATGGTTAGAAGCAGGAGGCCCGAAAAGTGATGGTACCTTTCAGAGGGGCCCTCGAGTCTGGGGAAGAGCGGATAGTCGGTATTCATATTATTGTGGATACCCGGCACTGTCCTGACATCTTTGCCTGGACTTCGGCCTGTCCTCTACCCTTCTGCCGTCTCAGGAAGGGGCTACTGTTATGCACACTGGACGGAAGAGACCTGGCTGGGAGAGGTGAAGTGCCTTGCCCAAAGTCCAGCAGCTGCGGGGTACAGTTCCGAAGGCCAGGTCAGTCTGACTCCGGAGCCCATGTTCTTGGTCAGCAGCATAGTATCTGAGGCCCTGCTTGATCTGACTGCTGCCATTTGGTCTGGCTTCCCCTTAGCCACTCTTCCCCTAGCAATACTCTGTGTTCTGTGGCTTTGAGCTTCCTCCTGCCTGCCTCAGGACCCTCCCACAGACTGTGTTGCCCAATGCCCAGTGAAATACTCCTGGAGTATAATTCTCATAGCACTGTGTCCTGTACATGTCCTTTGTGACACTTCCCACAATTACCATTCTTAGCTATGTCACTTTTTGTTTTACGTCTGCAGGGAGAGGACCCTTGTATCTGGTCCCCAAGGCTAGCAGCCGCTGATGGGTCTGGGGTTGACCTGTGCTTGTTGAGATGATTTAAGAATAGACCTATCCCCTCAGAACCCAACGTCTGGGAGCTTTTTGGCATTTTGGGCCACTGCCTTCCTCTTTGGGGCAAAAAAGCTGACAGTCTAGGTCTGCCTCTTAGCCTCGGTCCTGGGAGCTCACCCACCAGCAGCCCCGGAAAAAGGCTGGTGTGCAGCCCCCACCCCGCTCATCCATAGGCCCATGGGCCCCAGCCGCTCAGCCTTCCCTGGGAACTCACTATTCCTTGGCGATCTCCAAGTCCTTTCTGTGGCTCTGCAGGGCTGCGACCATCTGCCCCAGCTCAATCTGGGCATTCCCTATGCAGCTGTACAAGTTTCCGACCAGCTCGTCCTTGTTGGGCACCTCCTCTTTGTTCCATTCCAGCACTTTCTTCAGCACTTTCTCAGCTTTCTGAAGGCTGCCATCAGCACTGCCACTGGTCAGCACTAGGAAGGGAAATGGGGGACAGGGAGGTGGGAGCAGTCTCCTCAGGCTGATGGGAGAACCTACCTCCCCCCAGATACGCTCCACAGGCCTGCAATCTCGGGCCCCTCTGGTGCTCTCCCACCACCTGGCCAAGGCCTTGCCCTTCCGAGAACACCACCCACACATGTCGATGTCCTCGAGGCTCTTGAGGATGTAATGGGCCGTCTGTGAGGGACGGCGCTTGTGGTCCCTTAGCCATTTCTCTTGCATCAGCTTCCGGTCCCGCTCCCTGGCATAGATGGGCTTCTGCTGCCTCCAGAAGTTACTGCGGGTGTCCAGGTAGTTGATGCCTGTCATGATGAGGTCCTCCACGGTCAGGCCATGCTTGATGGTGCCTTTGATCAGGTCTGGGAAGAATGGTGTGAGGAGAAACCGACTAGAACCGGCGTCTAAGGGAGCCACCTCCTCTTAGCTGGGGATTCCTGCTGTGGGGTCCCCTAAGGGGAGCTCTGCTTTGAGCTGGGAAAAGCAAGAGCACATAGGTAGCAGGGTGGCTCTATGTGGACCCAGGTGAGGCCAGAGCCCCTCTTTCAGACACTGCCATGGTGTAAAACTTCATGCACAGGCCTCTTATGGCAAAGATACAAGGAACTAGCCGAGGGGGCCACTGGCAGATAGCTGCCTGAAAGGACCGCAACCCTCGGGCCCCCTGATTTCAGGTTGTGTCTGCTGAGAAGACTGAGTGTGAATGCACAGCTTGGTCCCGGTTGCCAGTGCCAAGGGAATCCCCAGGTGCCAAATGGGCCAGGGCCAGCAGGGAGCTGGAAGAGTGTGCCCAAGCTTTGCCCGCCTGCCTGACCAGAGGTTAGAGCTGGTAGCAAAACTGCAAGGCCTTGTGGGGTAATTTTCAGGCCACCCCTTCCTCCACAGAAGCTCCTCTGGAGGGAAGTGTTCAGGCCCCAGACAGAGAAGTGCCAGCAGGGAAGCTGCTCCTGAGACACAGACCTGCAGGGAGTCCTGCAGATAACCTCAGGAAGGCAGTTCTGGAGAATAGGCATTTGATTCAAGGATGAATCCTGCTTAGGCTTATCAGCTAATGGCAATACTCCCACCCTCCCATTTCATTTCAGGCTCTGCCCTACTTCTTGCCACTGCCAGCACAGTATAGTGGAAAGAGCGTTAGACTGGAGGTTAGTAGGCTGGCCTCTGGGGTCGACTTCACCACGAACTTGCTTGTCATCTTGGACAAGTTGCTCCCCATTCAAGGTCTCTCTTTCCTTATCTATAAAAGGAGGCATTAGACCAGATATTTCAGAACATTCTTGTACTAGTATCATAGGATTCCCCTTCTAGCATGTCCCAGTTGGATTCCTTTGCCCTTTCTACAAATTGAAGGCTCAGGGGATGCTCCTCCAGGGACCTAGGTGATAAAAGAACCCTAATCTCTAGGGTTTCCTCCCAGGGCTACCATAGTGCTAAGGGCACTGGTTCTGAAATTGGACATCCTAGATTCAAACCCAAGAGCCATGTCACTGTTTACTGATGTGTAACCTTTGGTAAGTTACTTAATCTTTCTGCACTTGAGTTTTCTCATCTGTAAATGAGAATACTAGGAAATCCTGTCCATAGGCTAATGTTGCATGACAGGCTCTGTCTCCAGCTCATGTATTCCAGCACCTGTCCCAGATTTCCTTTGCCACAAGTTCCCTTTGCAAACAAAGTATCTGAAACCTTCATCCAATAGGAGCTTCTCCAGATACTCCTTGTCCACGTAGAGCTCGCCCAGGAGCTGGCGGACAATCTTCTCACTCTTGAGCGAGCCCTTCCGCTTGGACTCTCTCTTGGGGTGATGTAAGAGTTGTCTCATGGGATGAGGCTTCTGCTGGGCTTTCATACTCTGGGAAGATGGAGCAATACCCAATAGAGCCTCAACAAGGAGCACAGAGTACCCAGACATGGCCCCAGAGTCTGTGATCCCAGACATCTCCTCCAAGACCTCTCTGTGGGTCAAGAACCATGGAGTGTGTCTGGTCTGGGAACAGCTAGATTCCCAAGACCCCTCTGGGGCTGGGGCAGAATCCCACGGCTGCCCATGATGGGCAGGAGCTGACTGTCCCCAGGTTAGAGGGCCACTGAGACCTCAGGCACATGTGGGCACTTCCTTGGGAGGGAATGTGATATCAGAACCAAGGCCCTTACCTCAGCTTGCTTGTTTAAGAAGGAGAGGTCCCCTTTGTTCTCTAGCTTAATTGAAGAAGGACCTGCAAGAAAAGAGGCTGGGGCTCAGGTGTGCCAGGCCCTCAAGCATGACCTATCACATATTTTTATGTAGAAATCACTGCCTTTGGCAGGGGGTGGTAGAGGTTATGGCAAAGCTGTCTCTGAGCCAGTCCAGCAGGTTGATGGTACAGGATATTTGGAATAACACTCTCCTATAGGTAGGCAGCCCCTGATATCCCAAGGCCATGGCAGCCAGATTTCCAAAGGCAGTCCCTGGCACTGGGAGAGCTCTCCATTCCCAGCCATTTCCACACTCTGCTACCCACAGGGCAAACTCTTGCTCTCCTCCCTTCTCCCCCTGCCACTAAGCCAATGGGTAAGGCCAGTCCTTGGTGCATTCCCAGTAAGAGAGGAAGCCAGGAACTAGGGAAGGCTAGGCTCAGGACCTCATTCTATCCCATGAAACCAGGCCAAAGACAGGCCTAATGTGAATAGCCTTTGCATCTGACTTAGAGGAGAACCAGAAGTTGCAGAGCTGAGCACAATGGATCAGGGGCTGGTCCTCTGGATAGACAGATTAGTTCCTGATTTTCAACAAAATCAGCAGCAACCAAATCCAAGCATGACACTCCCCGCAGGCCTGGTGGTAGCTGCTCACTCATCGCACCTCCAAGCCCAAGGATTCCAAGAGCCTCCTAGGATAAGGGCATAGGTCCAATGGTCACTCACTTCCCACTGAGTTGTTGATGGCTTCCTGAGCTTTCTGAATTCCAACTTTGAATTCTCGGTCAGGCCGCAGCTTGTAGCCTCGATGATAGAACACCAGGGCAAACTCAAAGTCTCCCATGGTGTACAGGGTCTCAGCCTTTTGTAAAATTCCCTGAAATGAGAGGAAGTCAAATTGAGGTGGCAGACAAGGCCTTACAGGACTTAGGTGTGGTGGAGCAGAGGGTCCTGGGTTGAGGATCAAGGTCGGGATACAGGTGCAGGTAGCTAGGTAAGTGACCTAGGGAGAGAAAAGGCATCAAACCCTAGGCAGTCTGGCTGGTTCTTCAGCTTCTCATCAGAGGCTGCGACAGGCAATGGCAGTGGTGAAAGCCAGATTGAGTCACCTTGCAGAAAGTCGGGTCACTCTGGAGTGAAGCCTCAGCATCCTTCAGGGACTTCTCCAGCTCTCCCATCTTCAGGAAGCACTTGGATCGGGCAACCAGGCAGTTCTTATCTCCATTCTGAAGGTGAAGAGCCTAAGAAAAGAACCACCCAGGTTGACAGGCACCAGGCAACACAAGGTAGAAGCCTGACCAGAAAGAGCATCCCAAACCGTCCTGCCAGCATTTCAAGGGGACTCCTCAGGCCAGCAAACAGGTCTCTGGATCTTTTCAAACCAAAAGCAGCACAACATCGATCTTTGCTCAGTCCACTTATAGGCTGCACGTAGCTCATCTCGAACAAGGTCAAATCACTAGCTATTGTGAAATCCATTGGTGGAAATGTGTGAATATACCATTCTGTGGATATACTGAATTTCCCCCACATGTCTGGGATTCCTCCAGTCTGCTCAGGCAATAGAAGCTTAAGATTTTTAGTGCATACCAAATTCAACCACAAACCTCAAATGGCTGTACAACACTCAAAATACATTTCAGAGGCTAAGCATTCTGAAGGCTAACGAAATAGGTTTTAGGACATCTGCAACTTGAGTCATCCATTCCCCTAGCTCTCTCTTTTTACAGAGCTTATTGAGAACAAATGAACAAATCACTATTTCAGGAGATCAAGATGAAAATGCTAGCAAAACTGAAACTGCGATTTGGGCAATAAAGTGGGAACGGAACATTTCTCCTGCTCCCCGTGTCCTTTCTTCTGTTTGAAATCATCATTGGAGGGGCACCGGGGTGGCTCAATCAGTTAGGCGTCTGCCTCTTGATTTCAGCTCAGGTTATGATCTCGGGGTTGAGAGATCAAGCCCCAGGTAGAGCTCTGCCCTTAGCAGGAGTCTGCTTCTCTCCTCCCTCTCCCTCTGCCCCTCTACCGCCCACATGCACGTGTGCACTCTCTCTCTCTCCCTCAAAATAAGTAAGATAAATAACTCTTTAAAAGAAGAAAAGAGGGGCGCCTGGGTAGCTCAGTCGTTAAGTGTCTGCCTTCGGCTCAGGTCACGACCCCAGGGTCTTGGGATCGAGCCCTGCACTGGGCTCCCTGCTCGGCGGGAAGCCTGCTTCTCCCTCTCCCACTCCCCCTGCTTGTGTTCCCTCTCTCGCTGTGTCTCTCTCTGTCAAATAAATAAATAAAATTAAAAAAAAAAAGAACATCTACTAGCTTACTTGTGAGGGAGTATGTATGGTGGTTAGCACCTCAGCACTGGAATCTGAGTGCCTGGGTTTGAAAACCTTCTCTTGCCAGTTCAGTGATCTCCGCCATGTACTCAAACTTCTATATCAGTTTCCTCATCTATAAAATGGAGTAATAACAGAACCTCCCTCATAGGGTTGTACTGCACTTAGCAGCAGTGTGCCTAATATCCTAAAACAGCACCCAATCTCCATAGGGTGGGGTTAAGCAATTGGTACTAAGATTATATAGAATAATGTTATTTACTGGCCATCTTCTGTGAGCAACTGTGTGCTTGAGATTTCACCACTTGGGCATGCAGCCTCCAAGCCCATTTCCCAGCCAATGATGGGAAATTAAGGCTGCTCTGTGGGAAGAGGCCAATCACATTTCAGTAAAAAAAGAAGTCACTGTTAATGCAGAGAACGGTTACTAACAAGCACAAGGCAAGTGGGAAATGGTATAAAATGGCGAGGCAGTGACAGAAGTTGACAGTAGTGCGTCCATCAGGAACAAATGAATAACAGACACAATAGGGTCCTCCAGGCACCACGGGGACCTCAGTGTTATCAGCAATCAGAAGTGGTGATGGGTGACTGGTAGGTTCAGAGCCCAACTCACGTTGCTGAAGCTATGGGCGGCTTTAGAGAACTCTCCGCACAGATACAGCCGCTCGCCCTCCGCCATGTAAGAGGGAAAGGTCCTTCGCAAGCTGTCAGCTTCTGGGTCCGACATGGTAGCCGGATTCGGTGACGCTGAAGCAGAAAAAGGGAGGAAAAGAAGCCGGAGAACCTCGGTCTGGCTTGTGGAAGCCCTGTCTCTTAGCAACCAGGAAGCGTAGAGTTGCTTCCGGCCCCTCCCCTCGCTCCCTCGGGGCGGGAGTGCGCGGTACATCCGCCGCCAGCGTGCGCATGCGCCGGCCCAGCAGCGCGTGGGCGAGGGCGTGACGGGCGTGTGGTGTGTGCCTGCCCAGGGGCTGCGCCGGGCTGTGTTTGTTGTTGCGAGTTCCGTCGATTCTCTCCCGAGGGCTGTGCCCGGTGTCCAGAATTTACAGCCAGTAATGTTGGAAGAGGATTGGGGGCAGGATTCCAAATAGGGATAAGGCATACGTGGCAAGGATATGTGCACCGCCACATTCAGGACATGAGGATTTGCAAAGGATTTCGTGGAAGACAACGTTGGGTTCGACCTTAATTTAACATATTTATTGAGCACCTGCTTGTGGTAGGCTCTGATCGAGGCCTCTCCTGACGGCTTTCCCCATTCCCTCACTCCCTCTGCCAAAAAAGTAAACGAGATTCTGCTAGGTTCCCTCGAACACCCTGCCTTTGCGACATTACTTTGAAAAAACGTCAACTTCCAACGCCAGTGACATCGTGACCTCCATTAAGGCAGGGACCCTGTCGTAACCTTGTGTTAACAGAATGCAACTGTCTGGCACATAGTAGGAGCTAAATAAATCATTGTTAAAGTTTAAATAGTTAAAGATGGCCCTAACTACTCAGATGTACACATCGATGAGTACATGTAAAGCTGGAGAAATCGGAATAGGATCAGTGGATCGTACCAGCGTCTATTTTCTGTTGTGTTATTGTACTCAAGTTTTTCAAGATGTTACCATTGGGGGAAACTGGGCAAAGGGTACATGGGATCTTTTTATTATTTCTTACAACTGACTATGAATCTACAATTATCTCAAAATTGTAATTAAGAAAAGAATGACTTTAATGCCAAGATAAAAAAAAATAATATGGTTCCTTGCTTGGAAGAGTTTGGTCTAGTCAGGGAGTGAAATGCATAAACGATAATGACTTACCAAAGCGATGTTGAGAGATTCGAAGTTCTGTGTGCCTGTGAAGGAGGTGAGGATAGATGAGTGAAAAATTCTGTCACGGCCTGGGCTGGATTAGAGACAGCTTCATCAAAGGGGTCACATTTGAGCAGAGGGTGAGTAGGAATGGTGCCCAAGAGACCTAAGTAGGGAAGGAGGTAAGCAAAGGCCAGAGGTGTGTAAGTTCACAAAGTGTGTAAGGAGCAGCAACCTCATGTGCTGGCTTCCATAACTTATATGTTATATATATATTTTTTAAAGATTTTATTTATTCATTTGACAGAGAGAGAGAGACACAGTGAGAGAGGGAACACAAGCAGGGGGAGTGGGAGAGGGAGAAGCAGGCTCCCCGCTGAGCAGGGAGCCCCACGTGGGGCTCGATCCCAGGACCCTGGGATCATGACCTGAGCCAAAGGCAGACACTTAATGACTGAACCACCCAGGCGCCCCCATAACTTACATGTTATTAAGATGGGCACATAGGTGAGTTGAACACATTGCTGAAGTGACCAGCAGTTAATTGGAAAATCCTCCTGCAAAGAGGAAATCTATAGGTTTAATTCAATTCCAGTCAAGATCCCAGCAGAATTTTTTTTTGATAATTGACAAGCTGATTCTAAGATCTACGTGGAAATGCAAAGTACCTAGAAGAGCCAAAACAATTTTGAAGAAGAAATACAAAAGAGAAGTTATGCTGTGCTGTCAAGACTTATTTTAAAGCTGTAGTAATGGTATTAGCATGAAGATCGATATGCAGATCAATGCAACAGAATAGAGAGTTCATAAATAGATCCACACATATATGATCAATTAATGTTCAACGAAGTTGCCAAAGAAATTCGGTGCAGAAAAGATAATCTTTTCAACAAATGGTACTGGCACAATTGGATAGCCATATGCCAAAATAAAACAGAAAATAACCTTACCTCACACTATATACAAAAATCAACTCAGTAGATTTAAATGTAAAACATCAAAATTAGAAAATTAGGGAAAAAATAGTTGAAAATAACAAGGTACAAAAAGCATGAAAAAGAAAAAATAAATTTGGCATCAAGATTAAAAGGTTTTGGGGGCACCTGGGTAGCTCAGTCAGTTAAGTGTCTGACTTCTGCCCAGGTCATGATCCCAGGGTCCTGGGATCCAGCCGGGCATCAGGCTCCCTGCTTGGCGGGGAGCCTGCTTCTCCCTCTTCCTCTGCCTCTCCCCCCCCCCACCATGTTCTCTCTCACTCTGCTCTGTCTCTCTCAAATAAATTTAAAAAAAAACAAAAATAATATTTGTTTAAAAAAATAAAAAATTAAAAAAATAAAATTCTAGAAAATACATACTTAATCTATGGTGCCCCAAAGCAAAACAGTTGCTCCTAGGAAAATGGAAGTAGGGCAGGGAGGGATAGAATACAAAGAAGTACAAGAGGATTTTTAGGGGTCAGGGGTGAAGGATATATGCATTATCTTGATTGTGGTAATGTTTTCACCATGTATACCCGTGTTAAAACTCATCAAATTGTACAACAATTAAGTATCAGTAAAGCTGTTTAAAAAAAAAAAAAACAGTTAAGGGACACCTGCGTAGCTCAGTAGGTTAAGCGTCCGACTTGATTTCAGCTCAGGTCGAGATCTCCGGTCTTGAGATCAAGCCTTATGTAGGCTCTGCCCTCAGCAGGGAATCTGCTTGAGAGGAAATCTGCTTGAGATTCTCTGTCTCCCTCTGCCTCTCCACCTTCTTGCGTTCTCTCGCGCTCTCTCTCTCTCTCTCTCAAAAATAAATAAAATCTTTATTTAAAAAAGCACAGTTTGGGGTGCCTGGGTGGCTCAATCAGTTAAGCATCTGCCTTCGGCTTGGGTCATGATCCCAGGGTCCTGGGATCCAGCCCCATGTCAGGCTCCCTGCTCAGCGGGGTGTCTGCTTCTCCCTCCCCTCTGCTGTTCCCCTGCTTGTGCTCTCCTGCTCTCTCTCTCTGTCAAATAAATAAGTAAATAAAAAATAAATAAGCTCAGTTAGATAGCAATAATATTGTGTGCTTTTTGACAGATTACAAAGCACTTTGTGATCTTGACAGTATCCTAATGATGGATGGAACCAGGCACTATTTGCCTGGTTTCATAAATGAAACAATGAGGCTGAGAGAAGTGACAGGGCTTGCCTGAAGCCACATCACCAGGAAATAGGTAGGCCGGGCTGGGGCCCATGCCTAGGTTGAATCGGTTAGAGTAAAAAGCACTGGAATTTGTTCCCAACCTGTCCCAGCCACTTACTAGCTGAACTGCTTATGTTACCTCTTTCTGTCTGTTTTTCTTTATATTTCCTTCTATTGTGAAGTATGCAAAAACATATATGAAATATATATATATACAGTTTATTAAATGATTACACAATGAACACCCATGCAATCATCTCACAGGTAAGTCAAAAAACATTGCCAACTGGGTGCTCCCTGTGAGACTCCTCCCCAGTCACAATCTCATCCCTGCACTACCCCCCTCCCCACATAACCACCACCTTCCTGGTTACTGCCCTGGTCTGAACGAACCCTCATTGGCTCCCTCCAGGATTACTGTAATATCCTTCTAATTCTCTTTGATCTATCCTTGCCTCCTTCCTTCTCAGCACAGCAGTTAGAGCATTCCTTTTAAGGGGCACCTGCCTGGCTCAGGGGGTAGAGTATGTGACTCTTAATCTCGGGGTCATGAATCTAAGCCCCGTGTTGGGTGTAGAGCTTACTTAAAAAAAAGGGGGTGTCAAAAAAATAAAGTTGCCCTATTAAAAAAAGAACATTCCTCTTATTATTATTATTTTTTAAAGATTTTATTTATTTGACAGAGACACAGCGAGAGAGGGAACACAAGCAGGGGGAGTGGGAGAGGGAGAAGCAGGCTTCCTGCAGAGCAGGGAGCCCGATGCGGGGCTCGATCCCAGGACCCCAGGATCATGACCTGAGCTGAAGGCAGACGCCCAACGACTGAGCCACCCAGGCACCCCTTCCTTTTAAAATACAAGTCAGATCCTGTCATTTTGTGTTCAAAACCCTACTGTGGTCCCTCATTTCACACAGAATAAAAGCTACTCTCCCCATCACTCCCTGTGCTCTGGCCACCTGGCCTCTTAACTGTTCCTTGAACAGGAAAATAGCAGACATGCTCCTTGTAAGGCCTTTACTCTGGGTGTTCTCTCAGCCCCAAATGGCCTGGAATTGATCTGGAATACTCCCTCCTGGCTACTTAACTGACCCTCTCCCCTCCTTCCTGTATTCAGATTTCTCCTCCGCAGTGAGGCTTTCCCCAACCACCCTATTTAAACTGCAGCCTCTTTGCCCTTGTTTATTGCTGTTTCCCCTGATAAAATGTGAGGTAGGCAAGGCTGAGCATCTTTGCTTATTTCATTCATTGTTGCTCCAGTGCCTAGAATAGTACCTGGTACAATTGCAGGTGTTCAGCAAGTATGGATTGAATGAAAGAACTAGAGTCCAGTTTTTTTGTGATAATCATTTCCTTGCTTTTCTTGGTAGTTTTCCCACCTATGTATCCATTCTAAATAATAGAATTTAGGTTTGTTTGTTTTAACTCTATGTAAATTGAATCATACTATATATGTACTTTTCATGGTCCATTTTCTTTTGCTCAACATTATGTTTTTGAGATTCATTCATGTTGTTGTGTGTGACTGCAATTCATTCATTTTCCCCTGCTGTCAAGTTTTTCCTTGTGTGAATGATATCACAACCCATCCAACCATTCAATCTTTGAAGGAAGTCTGGGCTCTGTCCAATTTTTGGACAATCTCACATGCATCTCCGGGCACATGTATGTATGAGATTCTCCTGGGTATATCTAGGAGTGGGGCTGCATGGTCTTCGTGTATGTCTTCAGTTTTATGAGATAATGTTAGATGGTTTCCAAAGTGACAGATCCATCTGCCCTCCTGCATCTGCCCATCTGTAGTCTGGTCACCCCTTTGGACCTCCATGTCCCCCGTATTTCCTTCATAAAATAAGAGGATTGGACTAAGGGATTTCTGAGGTCTCTTTTGA